CCACTCACCTCAGCCTCCCAAAGGCGCGGGATTACAGGCTGAGCCACTGAACCCGGCCCACATTTATTTTATAAATAAATTCCAGGGTTTCTTTTTTTGTTTCCTCTTTTATAGCTCTTTTATGTAAATTATATGAAATTTTGATGTAAAATATTTGTTATTTTAATAATTTCTGTGATATCATTTCCAACATTTTCTTAACAAGCAAATATCTTCATTAGTTTTGTCTATGAATTGATAAAAAAGATTGTATCTAACAAACTCCCTTTCCCTAGTAATAAGAAACAAACTCAATTATCCATTAGAGGGTAAATAGAAGATTTTCATTAGCTTTTCAAACTAATTCATAGAAGTTTACTTACCATTTTCGGAACATGTAGGGAGTCAGCAACCTCAAATTAGGAACTAAATCATTTATCTTTGAACACTTAATTTCTACATGACTTGGTCTGTTTCTTGACTCTACCATTTACAAACAGTATGACCTTAAAAACTTTCTAATCTTTTCTTTCTTTTTTTTTTTTTTCTGAGTTGGAGTTTCACTCTGTCACCCAGGCTGGAGTGCAGTGGCACACTCATGGCCACCACAGCCTCGACCTGCTGGGCTCAGGTGATCCTTCCACCTCAGCCTTCCAAGTAGCTGGAACTGCAGACATGTGCCACCACACCTGCCTAATTTTTTGATTTATTGTAGAAATGAGATCTTGCCAAGTTGCCCAGGCTGGTCTCGAATTCGTGGACTAGGGCAATTCTCTCACCTCAGCCTCCGAAAGTCCTGGGATTATAGGCGTGAGGCACGGCGACCAGTCTAAAAGCTTTCTAATCTTTAGTTTTTTCTGAAAATAGGGGTTATACCAATGTCTTTCTAAAAGGTTTCTTATGAGTATTAAGAGACATAATGCATGTAAAACTATAAGCATAGTAGTTACCTGGAATATAATCAGTACTAGCCACTGTTCTTATCCATTTTCCTGGTATTTGAGAGTGATTAGACCATGTGGGTAGGATTATATTTATTGGCCATTTCTTGATAAAGAATAAAAAGCCTCATGTAGAAGCCATTGATTGATAGTTTAAAGCTGGATTTGACCTTCAGACATGTTGGTTTGGGTCAACTTAATACTTTAAAATAATTGATGTATTTACCAACATTTTCAAATTAGTAGATTTTGCATAAGTTCCCAGAGGCCTAGCTACTGAAAAACAAGAGAACCAGGCAAGACAGGGATTGCAACTGCTGGCAGCTAAAGCCAGGACAGGGTTGTCCACTGGATGAGACATACACTCTCCACTTTGCAACATTGCTGCCACTCTGCTTTTATTTCATCAAGACCTGTTTCACTCATGTATTTTACATTCCTCACTGCAACAAACCTTTGAGTTGGTGATATCTAACTTTGGAATTATCCCTTACTAACTTTAATTATGTGGCTCAAACTATAACTCAACTTACATCCTTAAAAATAGTAATCCTCGGTTGTAATTTACAAAGCATTTCCTCGTAAAACCCAGGTGATACTTATATTAACTTTGAGGATTTGTTCAGACATACGTTATTATCCCATTGTATAGCTGTGGACATTGACTCCTAGTTTATATTAAAAGTTTAAAATAGTGATCTGGTGACTTAAAGTTTTTTGGGTTCTTACTAATGCCACTTTTTAAAGATGGAGAAATTTTCTAGGACATGATAGCCTTTCTTTCGGCTCCAACATTTATTTTAAGCAATTCCTTTTATTCCCATAATTACAAAGGAAGAAAAGGAGTGGTGGAGAGCTGAATATGTAAATAAAGCACATACCTATACTTTTTTTGTTTCAGTTTTAAACAAATTGCAGGGAACAAAACACTGGTTATGGCTCATTCAAAAAAAAACTATACATATAATTGGACAAGGTCTGCTTGTACTTTATTGTCTAAGTTATTAGCAAGCTGAAAGGAATGTGTGTCCAGTTCATCTTGTCTGTAGTTAAGTTAGACCAGATTTCTATGAATCTCCTGTGTTTTAAAGTTCTGTAAAAAGGAGATACTGATACTTAGTGACTTAGACTGTATTTTAGATAGCAAACTCAATTTTTTGTAGGCTTATTTTAACTGGGAAGACTTTATTGTATTACTTTTCATAATCATCCCAGGAGAATAATCTATACAGTAAATTAAAATTAGGGCTACTTCATTTGTAGTTATAGTAACTGTGTATGGTTCTAAAATATATAACTATATATGAGAGAATTTCAAGACAGTCTTGCAGAGGCTGACCTGCTGATATCCTAGTGTATCTTTTCAGAGGCAGGAACTTCTTTTGAATCTGATGTAATTATGTGATCCAGCTTGGCAGAAGTTAGGGCCTAAAGGGAAGAATCTTCAAATAATATTCTACAAAAAATATATGACGAATGTTTATAAAAGTGAGACTCATGATACTCACATATTATTTAGTTTTAGGTAAAGTCATTTCTTAGCATACTCCATGTCATGAAACAACTTGAATTTTCTTTTCTTTTTTTTTTTTGAATTGAAGTCTCACTCTGTTGCCCAGGCTGGAGTGCAATGACATGCTCACTGGCCACCGCAGCCTCAAACTGCTGGGCTCAGGTGATCCTTCCGTTTCTTCCATTTCAGTCTTCCAAGAAGCTGGAATGACAGGTGCAGGCCATCATGCTCAACTAATTTTTTGGTTTATTATAGAGACAAGGTCTCACCAAGTTGCCCAGGCTGGTCTGGAACCCCTGGACGCCTGGACGCAGGCAATCCTCTTGCTTCTGCCTCCCAAAGTGCTGAATTATAGGCACGAGCCACTGTACTTGGCACAAGTTGCATTTTCATTGAGAAATGGTATTCTTGGCATATATTTTGGAAAAGTTAATTAAGTTTATTGATATTTGTGTGATATTAGAAAGGCAAATGTGTTCATGTTCATTTATGAAGCAGTAGCTTCTATGTTGGATTTCTAGCCTCTTCCACTGATAAATTTGGTCATTACATATAAAGTATTGTGAAATATAGTACTTGGACAGAGTGATTTTTGATGTTTATGTGTGTATTCTTCCTGGAGGTTATGTGAGTTAAGAATAAAATGTTTAGCATTAAGTATAAAGTCCCATTAATTCAAACATTTCAAGAAAAATAGTTTTTCTTTTTCTATATTTTCTTCTATAATATCATTTCTAGGAAATTTTTCATTCAATCTGCTTTTAAGTTTACTGTTATAAAATTATCTTTTTTAGTCTCTTCCCTAATTTATTAGTCTTTTCATCCTTAATATTGTTCATCTGTACCTTCTCTCTTGTTTGTTGATCTATCTTGACAGGGATTTTTCTATTTTAAAAATTTTTTTGAAAAACTGTTAAATTTATCAATCCTCTAATCTGTCTTTTTCTTTCCCTATAATGTCTTTCTTTAATTTCTCTTCTTATCTTCCTTTTTTTCTGCTTTCTTTGGTTTCATTCTATGGTTATGTAATTTTTTATTTTTATTTTTTTGAGTTGGAGTCTCACTCCATCACCCAGACTGGAGTGCAGTGGCCGCTCCTGGCCACCGCATCCTCTACCTGCTGGGCTTCGGTGACCTGCTGCCTTAGCCTTCTGAGTAGCTGGAATTACAGGCACGCGCTACCACGCCCAGCTGATTTTTTGATTTATTGTAGAGATGAGGTCTCGATGCCCAGGCAGGTCTCGAACCCGCGGGCTCAGGCAATCCACTCACCTCAGCCTCCC